GACAACTACTTGTGCATGTACCCTTTGACAGCACTTCTATTTCTACATGGCTCCTAGGCTTTCTCTTCCTGCGAAGCACTAAAAGGTCATTTTTGTTCAAGCCAAAACCAGAAGTCTAAAAAGTTCAGCAAAAATTCTAAAAGACAAAACTAAACCATCAAGAACATCCATTTTTATGGTGTTACTCAGTTTGTCATAGACCTTTCTCATCAACATTTTGCTTGTCAAACATTACAGATAACTACAGTTCATGTAAGTGTGCCAGGGCTGTACAGGGGCACCTAAATGGAACAAAGCCATCACTGATATTATTACTTAGACCTGTGTTGTTCCTTCAGTGATGAGTCCATGAGAAAGTCCTACAGTATTTCACCATGTATTCTCATATTTTAATCCCTTCACTATTCAAACTAGCATAGTGTTAGGATATGTGTCCCATGAGAAAGACAGATACGCACACAGAGGTTGTGTATTGGTTTGATCTGATTTTGTATGTCTGTCTGTTTCTACTTATTATTACTGCCAGTAAGCAACAAAGGAACAACTGCAGAGGTAAGTCATGGCTCACTAGAGAGGTCAGGAGGTGTGGAGACGGTAAACTCTCTCAGGACACCTACTGGGCAGGTGTTACAATAACAGTTGTGGAAAAACAAGCATGTGACACACACAGAGAAAGTCTGAGCAGAAGAGACAGTGCAGGTGTTGGTCTCACAGCTCCTTTGTATACTGTTTTTTTTTTTCCTATTTCTGAAAGAAAGTATAGTAACACCATGGAATTGGTTATGTTGAGTGCAAAATGTGATGGATCCTATTCTTTCCCACAGCTGACACCCTGTTTTCACCTGATCTCTTCCCGTAGATTTAACTGCAGGTCACATCTGGCATTTCAGTGTGTCTAAAATTTGTCCTGAGTGAAATATCAGTTCATTTAAGGGTATGAACTGCATGTTGCCAGTTCTGTACCAGTGCCATTATAGTTACTGGTGTTAAGAGGGCAAACAAACAGAGTGGATGGTGTTGTCAAGCTGTGAGATGTGAAAAAAATGTAATGAGCAGCTAAATCATATGGCATATTGAGAAGGACAGTATCCACAGAGTAAGGGCCAAAGGATAAACAAAGCTGACTGAGGACATCCAGTGGCTGAAAAGAAGAGATATAAACAGTTATATTTGCGCCACCCGGCTGCTCAGATACTGCTGTGGTTTTGTCTTTGCTGGTGAAAGTAAAGTTGTCAGCATTGTGGCTTTATATTGTCTTTTGTCTATGCTGCTATATAGGTCAAATGGGCGGGTCATGCAGACACAAACTTCACAAAACAACGACTTGGTTCAGTTGTTACACAAATAGTTGTTTCTGAGATGCAACAAGAGATACTGGCTTTTATACACATTATTAGACAAAAGTTTGAGACCAGCCCCATTTGTTCCATTTTAATTTAATTTAAGCAGCTCAAGTCCACTAACTATCCTTAACTGGTGCAATGGTGAGTGGTGAAGGTAAAAAGAACAAAAAGCTTAAACCACCAAAACGTTTGTGTGTTCTCCTTGTGTCTGCATGGGTTCTCTCTGGGCGCTGCGGCTTCCTCCCACAGTCCTGAAACTTGCAGCTTATGTTGATTGCTCCTAGGAGTGAGTGTGAATGTGTGTGGTTGTTTGTCTACATGTCAGCCCTGTGATAGACTGGTGACCTGTCCAGTGTGGACCCTGCCTCTCACCCAATGTCAGCTGGGATTGGCACCACCCCCATGACCCTATTCAGGAATAAGCGGTATAGATAATGGACAGATGGACAAACTAAATGACACTTCTACATAAATATTGTACAGTTCTGTTAGATAAATTCTCAGTGTAATAAAAAATCATTCATTGCTTGAACTCTTGCCAAAAGCTCAAGGCACTTGCGAACCATGCTTGTGAACTGATTTGAGGCTTTTGCACAGTGTGTCTTTCCTCAGGCATGAGTAATGAGGAAAATGGAAAATAGTGGGTGCTGATGTCAGCTTGACTCTAACAGGACCTCTGCTACATTTCCGTATGTGGGCCATGCCTGAGAACATAAGGCATTCCCCTAGTTTACATTTAACGCTTCTGCTCACAAAACTCTGACATCCGTACCCCTTAAGTCTGGTAACTTGTGGTGGCATTTATCAGAACTGACAGCCAATATGAACCAACTACAGGAAATGACCTTAAAACACAACAGTTAATGGGCACAGGAAGATTTATTTCAAAATCTGTTTCGTGCCCCACAAGGAACACCTTTGCAGAATGAAGAAAAGTTTATCATATAATATTATACGTTTGTGTTTCTTGTTTTCTGTGTCTTGTGTTTTTATTCATGAAATCTTAGGACAGGTGGTGGACATAAATAATGGGTATCTTTATATTCTTCAGTTGGTTCAGTGATAGTCAAACGTGTTTCCGAGAAAGTTTTTTGACATGGTTATATGGCTAAATACACTGAACACAGAAAACCACTGAAGGTGATGGGGACACCTTTAGTTTAGCAGGTATTTGGTTAAAAAAAGTATTCGGCAGATTAAATACTTGACACAATGATGGCAAAAGGCAAAAAGTCAGGATCGCCATTATTATATTTGATCCTCTGAGCACAATAAAGCTGTATCAAAGTGCAAGGGAGTAGGCAAAAAGTCAGGATTGCTATTATTATATTTGATCCTCTGAGCATAATAAAGCTGTATCAAAGTGCAAGGGAGTTAAGTCCATTCCAGTGTGGACCACAGTAGTGAACCAACCAGCAGACAGACTGTGCCAGCTACAAAGATGTACCGCTAGTGTGGCTAAAAACAGAGTTAGGAGCACAAGCACTTGTTCAGTCAACAGTACCTCAAGACAAAATCAGTGTAGGACTTCATGTCAGAGTTTCAGGCTACAGAAATGATGTGATGATGCTGCAACACATAGTCCTGCTCCAAATCATCTTGCCTCCAGATCTGAGGGTATGTGTGTGGAACTTGTTACATCCCCACAAGTTTATATACTGTATACCTGTGGGGATGGAACACTGGGAGCACACTGCTTTGCAGGGACCGGAAGTCATGTGTGAGGTCCCGAGGCTGGGCCCCATTACTAATTCATTGAATTTTATGAAAATGATAGGGTGTTAGCGCAAGTGTCGGCTTTGGTTAAGGTTAGGGTAAGTCTCCTAAAAATGAATGTAAGGTATTAAGTAGGGATCCCGTAAGTGACAACTGCAAGGGTGTGTGCGAGCATATTTTCTTTTCTGCCAACCCCATGTACCACAAGTACAAGCAATGTCATATACCAAACATTAATTGAGTTGATCTTGTCATTGTTTATGGTCAGTGGTTTTTGAAGCCTCTCACAATACATGTGTGGGAAAGTCATAGTCTACAGTAGGTGTAGTATGTACTGTACTTCTCCTTTCTCTATTATCTTATCTGATTGCCAGAAAAATACATTCAACTTTCAGGATTGACTGCACACACACTTTTTAAAACATGCAAATAGAGTAAGTGATATTTAGTAACACATTCAATAATTATCCAGTGTTAAAATATGCATTATGACAAAAATGATTAAAAAAAAAACACTTTTCAGACACACAATTTATTTAGGCAATAAGCAGATTAGATTTACAAAGTACAAAATATTAGAGCTTTATGAATGTAGAACACAACAGGGTATATATAATGTTCTAGAATATTTGTAGCAATTAAACTGACAGTAACACAAGATTAGACAAATGAGGATCTTTAGTCTCTTATCATTTTAAAAATAAGCAAATTCACTCACCATTTGAGGAACACAAGAAAACAAGTAGCAGCCTTTGCAGTACAAGAGTAATAAACCAGTTCTGGTGAGTTTGGTTTATTTGGTTTAATATATTTATTGTTGTACAGACAAATTAAACATCAATTATAAATATCTGACCTGACATAAAGGGAATAACATCATCAACAGAGTATAAACTTTAACATTTGGGATTTACTTTAGTTCAGACGTCAGTGTCTGCTGAATAAAAATAAACAAAAAGTTGAATGACGTCATGTAAATTATCATTTTTTTCACCACAGATAATAAAGCATACAGTAAATGATAACACTGTAATTACACAAATGTTTTATTTACTGTATATGGTCCATATGTATTGTGCATGCTGGTTCACTGATACAATTTACTGGAACTCATAAGTAGAAATGAACCGGTGTTAATGTTGTTAGTTACATTTGTGCTTTTCCTGCTTGTCTAGTCTGTCCATGTACATGAGATTATATCACCTGTACAGTAAGTCAGCTGCTCTTCAAGCAATTGCATTTCTTTTTGGTCTATTTAACAGATGTTCATCTGATTCTACACATAAATGACAGTTTAATAAGCCATTAAACACCATTACTTTTTTTCCCTGTCAATCTGGAGTAGCTTTTTCAAATGTGACAAAATTACTCTGATGAAGTCATCAGCTTATACAGTAAATCTGGAAGACACGTTCTTCAAAGAAAGCCTATGTTTTTAAATAGAAGCCTGAAGTTTGAAAGAGAAAGGTATTTGCCTGACAGTGCATATCTTACAAAAAGGTGCTATGAGTTGCATTATGGGCAATGTAGGATTCAGCATTTCCCAAGTCTGACCCATGTCATAACCTAAATATGTAAATACTTAATTACTTGAGTACCTATTTCAGTTTTTGAATCCATCAGTTTTTACTTCTGGTTGTTCATACAAATTATATTCTGCTACAAAGTGACTTACTGTTACTGTCCTTACTGTGCTTTCTACATCAGTAAGGACACATAGGTTATAATATTTTATTCTATTGAAGGTAACTTGCTCATGTTTGCTCAGGATACAGTCAATTTCAATACAATATATGTCACTTTTATTTAAACACATTTTGCACAGATGCTTTTGCCCGTACATACAGTATGTAAAATTACAGCAAAGTAATGGCTTGGAAAGATGAGCTGCTCCTGGATCATTAGCACTGCTAATTTTACCTTTTAGAAGCTGCTACACTGTCACACACTGAATGATGACATGTTGTTAGAGACATCTGAAGATTTGAAGCCTGAAACACAATTACTGGACATTGTGTGTGAAGTGCGAGCAGAGTAGATGTACCTTTTGCTAAAGCACCATAGGTCCGCCATTATTTGCTGGAAGTGGCTTCTGAACTTCACTCCAATGAATGCATAGAGGATGGGATTGAGACAGCAGTGGAGGTAGGCTACACTCCTGGACACAGCCAGAACTTGGAGTTTAACCTGTTCTGCCTTACAGCTCCTCTCCTTGAAAAGAGACAGGGTGTGAACCAGCAGAGCCACATTGTAGGGAAGATGGCACAGGATGAAAACTACAACAACTGCCAAAACCACCCTGATGGCCTTGTGTCTCTGGCTGCTCTGTGCTCTCACCAAGGTGAACAAGATGCTGGAGTAGCATAACACCATCACCAACAGAGGCAGCAGGAAGCCAATGGCCATTTGAAGACTGGGAACCAGCACCTTCATTAGCCTTGCTGTTTCATAAGTGTTGAAAGACAGCTGACACATCACAGTGCCAGCATCAGACCCTAGAGTTTTCTCTTCAAAGTGCTCGGTGTAGATGAGCGTGGGCAGAGTTAAAGCTGCTGCAAACATCCAAACAGCTAAGCAGATCAGGCGACTGTAGATCAGCGCATGTGAGCGTGTCCCAAAAGACCTTCTAGCCTGAACTATAGCAATGTAACGATCACCACTAATACACGCAAGCAGCAGCATGCTGCTGTAGAGGTTGATACTGTAGGCTGACCTTAGCATCTTGCAAGCCACAGCACCCATTAACCAACTGTGCTGCTCGTTGTATATGATAAATGGCAGGGCCACCACAAAGATCAGGTCTGCTACAGCCACATTGAAGAGATAGACATCCGTCATTGTCTTGGTTCTCTTGTAGAATACGTAGGTGACGATTACAAGACAGTTGCCAATCAGGCCAAAGGCACAGATGATGGCGTGAATGTAAGTTTGGGTGATGACTTCTACTGGGTTGGGGTCAAGGTCGCAGAGGTAATCTGAGGAGGCTGTACCATAATCATAGTCTGAAGTCTCATAATCATAGTATGGAGTCACCGACGCCATGCTTATAATCTAGAGGAGAAAAGACAGCCATTAACACCAAACTGTGAAACACTGAAGAATTAGGGGACTACAACAAGAGGTCAACCAGTGCAAAAAGACTCAGTAACAAAAATGTGGCCTCACATTTTAATAAGGTTTACATCATAAAAGGTAGTGATGGAAACTGACTGTTTACTCAGTGTGACAGTAGTTAAGTCCAGTTTGAGAATTTTCATTTTATGCAACTTTATACTGTATGTCTGCTCCACTACATTTCAGAGAGAAAACTACTTTTTTTCCTCTTTAATTCCTTACATTACTGTGCTGCTATAGCTAATTGACACATTATGATACTACATACATGATAAAAGAAAGGTAAGATAAGATTTAGTGGAAACAAAGCTTTGTTCAGTCATCATTACACATCAACTCAATTATTAAAATAACAATTGCAAAGTGGCTGGGCTTATTAAACAAAAACAACACCAAAAGAATGAAATTTTTAAAAGAATAAAGCATGCAAATATATGTCTTTATAATAGTAATATTATCCAATAATGCTGTAAAGTTGTAATAATATAACCCTCAGAATGTGGCATTTCTTTATAATGAGTACTGTTAGTTTTGAAACTAGTTAGTTTTGTATGTGTACTGGTGGGAGAAGTACTTCAATATAAAAAAATAGTGTGGAAATACATTATTACATCTGCATCCAAAGTTTTACTTAAGTAAAAGTACATAAGTAAGAAGCAAAAGTACTTATTATGCATTATGGCCCGTTTCAAAATCAATAGTATATTACTGGAATATACTAACTATGGATTCATTCATGTGGAAGCTGGGGCTAATTGTAATTACTTGATATACCACTGGATAACTAAAGGTATATAGCACAATGTATTAGTTTGTTATGTTTTGTATTAATCTTTGAATGTACAAAATCTAGAAACTGAAGTTGTCAGACAAATGTCATGGAGTAAAAAGTATAATATTTGCAGTCAAACATAGTAAAGTAAAAGCATAAAGCTGGATCAAACTGATTCACTTAGAATTCTAAAATAATAATAACATCATCAAAGGTTTATAAATTGTAACTAATGACTTCATTACTGCTAAATATAGCTGTGTTTATCTTTAATGAATCAGTAAGCCTTAACCCTGCACAGCCTGGATGAAACTCATAGCTTTTTGTCTGCTGACAGGACAAAAGCCAAGTTCTAGTTCAGCTCTTCTTCTGATTTGAATGACCCAGTTTCAGCTCCAGTAGAAACCGAATGAATGCACACAGAGTTCAACTATACAAGGTTGCACTGTGTATTTGATACAACAAGGAAAGGCCACTGACATAGAACAAGGTTAGCAAACACCAACATACTGTACTTACTGTCAGCATAAAAATAAATCAATCAGAAATTAATCCATCTGTTTCTCTGACTGACACTAGAACATGAGTTTTTTTTTTTTTTAGTTTTTTGTTAGTTTTAAGTGATGAATATAAACTGACACTAACAAACACTTATAGCACAGAAATAAACATTATTTTAAAAAACCATTTCTTGTTTATGCAAATAGTAGCATGTGATAAACATATCACATACTTACTTCTTCAAAAGCCTAGCATAAAGAACAAACTTGATAATATGATGCCAGGTCTTGTTTCAGCCCTTCCCCTTCTGACAACTCACTATAGTAATATTATATATAGTATATTAGTAGCACCTGTCATTTTGAGAACCTTGGTTGTGCTGCAAATCCTTTTTCCATAATTTACAGAACTACTAGTTCTGTAAAAGTGTCTGTGTAATGTTTATGTGTTCTCTGTAAAAGCCATTTAACTGTTCAAAAGTGGTGGGGTTTTTTAAAACTTTGTAGTATTTCAAGATTTGAAATGAATCACATGAACTATATCAAAAAATACAATAATTTCATTTCCAGACTTACATGTTAATAACTGAATAATGCATGTACTGTCAAAACATCAAATATATTACCAGTTACCAAACCAAGAATTTGAAACATTTAGTGCTTATTATTGTTTATATTTTCTGTTCAGAATGTAAATACCTTGTAGAATGATGCCTCTCAGTTTATTGTTTATCCTCTGGACCTGATGTTGCCAGATTAAGAGAACGTGTAAAATATTTCTCTCAGGTACCTTCACTTTCACCGGTCTTCAGCTTCTTATGAGGAACGAGCTCAGTATAGCGGCTATATGTCGCCGCTACTGTGCGCTTAAAAAAAATCAGAAGAAGAAGCCAAAACCTCTTTTAAACCAAAATCGCGTTCCCACAAGCTCTGCTGCTGTGTGATAAGACAGCATCACTCAGCTTCCTGCTTTTGATCTCACACGCCCTTGTCTCTGCTCCTCACCTCTGTGCACCATTCCTGTTATCTGATGTATGCTCAGTGCACAGTTCAAGGTTTCTTTTGTTTTCCAAGAAATGTTTACAGTTATGCAAAATTGCTTGATTAATTCTAATTGCTCCCCATATTTGTGAACAACTGCTGTTTATGCCATGAGATTTTTTTGCTGATTTGAAACACACAGGCTGTCTTAGAGATACACAAGTTCCTATTAAATATCATCAGTGATATTTAGATGCCCCTTCCTTCGGTGTCACGTCCTCTCATACACACATACTCTCATACAAACATACCACACTCTATCTGTTTTTTTGTCTTATGTCCTCAGATCTCAGTTGGGTTATACTGAAAATATATTTAGCTTATATTTAGTTAGTTTTGTTTTTAATTCCCATCTTAGAGCTGTTTTCTCTCCTTTATTATCTGATTGTGTGTGTGTATTATTGTGGTGCATTTACTTGATTTTTGTGTCAGGCTAGTGGTTTGCTGGAAAAACAAGATAACAGGCTGTTAACCTACTCAACTACTTAGACTGTAGTTAGTTTTCCCCAGCATGACCAGTAGATGGAGCTGTTATATCAGAGCAAAGTCGATAATCAGTGGCGTGGAAGAGACCGAAGGCCTTTCGGAAAATGGTGTCATAACTAACAATTACTTCAAATTTAGAAATGCAATTTATTCTTTTCAAGTTATCGTTGTCAGGGATATAGTAAAGAAAGCATCTTGAGCTTTTATTTTAGAAAGCAACCATTTTTTGGACCTCACTTAAACTTAATGGCATAATTTAAAAAATGATGCAACAGTGAGTGCTCATTGATTTAAGTGATATAAACACAGGTCTTTTTGTAGGAGAAAAAATGAGTAAAATTATTTTTAAATTACACATAAGCCTACTGGCTTCAGTTGAGAATGAGACCCTAATTATTATTATTTTCAAGATAAGTGACATATTTGAATGCCATATAGGAAAACTTTAATCCCCTCAGTTCTCTAAAACTTAGTGAAAAACACCCAATGTACAGTCACACACACACACACACACACACACACACACACACACACACACACACAATACAAACATATACTGTAGTATTATGCAGTATAACTGCAAGTTTGCAAGAAGGTGAGACTAAATTGGGAGGGTTGTGTTGATAGTGTACACTGAAGAGTCTGTTAGCTGCATAAAACAAGCTAAAAGTAAAATGTTTGCTTTCAAAATAAAAGGTTTTTAGTCTAACCCCTTAAAAGAAAGCAGAATGTACAGCTGAATGCTAAAATGTGCATGGATGCCAAAAATCATGTGCAATGATTTGCCGTCAACTTAACATAGCCTGTAAAACTGTATAATAAACTCTTTTTCTTTCTCAGTCATTTGGTTACACTGTTGTTGAAGTTAATGTCGGCGATATTTCCATCACCCACAGACAAGACAGGTGGACTCATGCTTTATAGTAACTGGGGGACATTGTATGTCACTAAGCCTATACCTCTGAAACAATGAATTAGCCTAATTGATCAATCTTAAGAAGCAACTGTATTGATAAATGAAAAATGTTTTCACTCATTTGTCAAAATAAATGTCAAACATTTAAGTTTGAAAAGAAGATTAATGAGTCAATTGATAAAATAAACTTTTTTGCTGATAATAAAGTTGCTAGTTTCTTTCAATTAAAAAATGCTGAGATTGTGTATATTTTATAGGCAGATTTCAGAGTTTTAATATATATATATATGTTTTTCAACCAACAAAAACTAATAAAGGTCTCGGTATGGCCAATCTTTATCAGCATTAAAACTGTGGGGGGAAAGGGGATACTCATATAAAAAATTACAGAAAATATAGCTGAACTTTAAAAATGTGTTGTATTAATTTAAACTTTTTGAAATTTTCTTGTGTTCTTGTGAAAATTTCATAATGTGAGGCAAGTTGCTGGGAGATTTATGACCTCGGACCAGACACTGTAACTGTCTAGAAATATGTGGATGTGCTGTTTGAACATATTTGTTTATCTGTAAAAGACTCGTGTAAACTTTTCATCCTATGGCGATTTTGTAAATAAGTCAAGTCAATAACGTTGTTTCATGCTTTATTCTGAAGGTTCCAATCGGAAGTTAGTCTAAACGTGCACCTTTCCCACCTGGCGGAACCGGAGTGCGCGTGTGCGCGTGTGGGCAATTCCAAACGCTCGCGGCCACCCGCTCTGCAGGTTATCCTGGTGAGTCCTACAGCAGTAGCTACAAGTAGGACAGCTCTCCCCATGTGTTTATCTGTGGACTTTCAGAACAAGCACTTCACACACCATGAATAGGTCCAACTCGCTGAATGTCAAGGGTTTGTTAAAACTAAAGTCACACGAGAAGGACAATAAGGCGCTCAAACGGTCGTGGTCGCTGAAAGATGGAAGTGAGACCAGCCCCAGAGATACGACGAGCCCAGGTCCTTTAGTCCCGGGAGACAGCGCCACATCGCCGGATAACGTTTTACCTAAATCCTCGAAAGAAAAAAAGGGAAAGCGGTTCTCGTTCAGGCTGAAAAGGAAGAAATCCAGGAGCAAAGCAGAAGAAGACGTGTTCTTAGACAATGATGACACAGAGGGCTTCGCCAGCCACCGGTAAGGAAACCAAATAGACAAAAAACAAGAGCTTCCCCCCCATGCCATTAACTTTTGTTCAGAGTTCTTTTGAGACCATGGGTGGTCTTTTTAAATTGTTTTTTTTTAACAGCATACAAATTAAACATATGGTCTTTTGTGTAAATTATACTATTACTTTTGCATTAGTGCATTAAGTTTAAACAAACAAACCACCAGAACTGTAGGTCACCATCCTCCATTTTGTAAAAACAAAGGTATCAAAACCCTTTATCAGACAATTCAGTTATGTTCAATACAGTCTATATTAGGCCTGTTACCCTAAGGACTGTCTTTGTCAGTGGACCACCAGTGTTACTACTGGGCTATTAGTTCTTTTTCTTTCTCTCTTATGAATATATGTGCCCAGACTGTCAGAAAATCAACTGGCATGAATTTCATTGATGATTTCGACCACATTAACATTGGAATTTAAATAGAAAAGAGTGAAGGGAGCATTTCTGAGCATTTACAGATCAGTAAAGACAGCTGCATATTTAAATTGCAACCTATAAAAATAAATTTATGATGTATAATGTCGGGCAGCCTTATGGATTTGTCCGAATAATGAGACAGGCAGTGCACTTGTATTTCTGTTGGAGCAATGCTCCTATAGGCATTTTTTTCTTCTGAGACATGGTTATAGTCTGGTTTACCAACAAGTTTGAGCTTCTCCCTAGTCTATATAAATCTGTTAATTCATTATTTACTCTGAAAACTGTTAAACTAGTTTAACACACCTGATAGAAACATGATCACACATTCTCCCATACACTATGTATATGACTTGATAGTGATGCTAATGGGGCCCCTGGGAACTCTCTCAGGGGTCCTTAGCAGTCCCTAGAGCCCACTATTGGAAACCAGTGCTCCAAATTTCACATACAAAAAGAAGTGAAGGAAGCAGTTAATAAGTGTTGTGGAGTGACTGTTTTCCCCCCTGGCACTCCTGTGGCGTTGAGCTGCGGCTGTGCTAGTTTAGTCATGCAACTCTTTGCTGGTGTCGAGCTTGAAAAATGCAGAAAGAGGTAAACAGATACACTGAGAAGAGAGTGCAGTTTAGTTGTTGGCACACAGACAGGAGAAGTTGCTGTGTGTCCGGTGCTCTATGCAGTTCAGATATTTAATTTTACAGATTAGTCCTCCTGCTCTGAAGAGTCACCCCCCATTCTGTTTAGCTGCCTTTAAGGGAGGCATTTCATCTCTTCAGTCTTGCTCATTTAACCAACAGTGCAAGACTGTGCTTGATGGGAACATGGGGAACTCTGACTGTGAAGCAGTAAATATCCATTCTGAGTCTTTCTTCCCTGGATAAATTAAAGACTCAGAAAGAAGCTGGTCAACCTCACTGAGTCACATTGATGACAGAGTATTTCCCATTGCTTTATTTATACAAAGTATTTCCAGTTCTCTTTTTATGTTTCATCAAATATGTATTGAGAGCTGCACCATTCCATGCCCCATACCAATTTGTGGAGATGTATTCCCTGTGACTCAGGTGTTGCTGTCGCACGTTAACCTACATTGACAGATGCTGTGTGTGTTGATGAGGAAGGCAGGCATTGCATAAAACCTGCTGTGCAGGTTGGACACATTGTATGACACATTATCCCATTCAGTCCAATTATTAATGGCTCGATAAATTTGATGTTGTGTCTGAGCTGGATCGGAGTAAGTATGACTAATACAGAAGACGGTGACGTATGAACAGTGCGTACAGGCCAGAGAGATGAATGGTACTGCCACATATTTATTAGCGAGGAAAAAAACATAACCATATGAGTCACATGCTACAAGAATGAATTTCTGCTGAGCTTGACTGGGTGTAATATTGTCACATTAGGTTGTAAGTGCATTGGTGCGTCATGAATAAATTCATTAGTCACTGAAACCTTTTTAAAGTGGCCTTTCCTTAACCTCTAGAGTCCTGAGCTTTGGAAACCCAAGCTGTGCGGTCCTCATATGAGGACGCAGGGACTCTAGAGGTTAAACATCTGCAGGCCACTGGGAACAGTCAAGTGCAGTATGACACCTTTTTATATATGAAAACCCTTTTTACTTGATGATTTGCTGTAGTGGCTAAGACTGCCAGGGGGAAACTACAAAACAGGCTTTGAGCACATTTCATTTTATCAGGCTGTTGGCAAAGTTTTGCATTTACAGATCCAACAGATTTGGAGAAACATTGTCATCCCTATGTTGTTTCTGACCTCCTGATATGCATGTCTGAGCAGTGACGGTAAAATGCTTAGATGGTTTGCAGCATCCATGTAAATGTAATATTTCTGCTGGAGCAGTCATCTGATTAATAGATTATACAATTGACAGCAAATTAATTGGCAACTGTTTTGATAGTTATTTGGTTGTTTAAAGGATAAGGCCGATCATTTTCTATATTAACAGCATTTTCAACACTCTCCATACAGAGACTAAAGCCGATAACGAATTGCCCCTAATCACTGGTGATGTCAGTCAGCAGTGGATTAGCTTATTCATCTGTACCTTAGACCTCCATTGTTATTAAAAATTAAAATCGTAGAGAAATGCAGCGCTGCACTGGGTCACATGTTTCCTTATTACAAAACACATGATCCTAGTTAGTATTTGTTACAAATATCCAGAGATCTTGTGCATGGGCTCTTGTGTCTTACTTATTTCAGACAACATTTTGGGACAACATTTTTAAAATGGTTTTTGTCTCTGTATGAGGAGTGTTTAAAATACTGTTCATATAGAAAATGACTGACCTTAGTCATTTTTGTCAAACATCCTGTGGTTCCATACTCTGTAAAAGGATAATTTGCCTATTATGAAATATTTTTGAGTTTTGAACAAAGAGCTATTTGAAGAGGTCACCTTGAGCTCTGGCAAATTGAGTCTGGCATTTTTCCTTTTTATGTTTATAAACCAAATATTTTTTTTTTTTGATTTTATTCTTTCAAGCATGTAAAGACAGTTGATATATCAACACAGATAATTTCACACATATCCACAAATGCTAATCCAATATCAATGTGCTTATACCTAGTACATGCTTGAATGGAGTAGGAAGAAGTCAGACTTATCCAGTCCTACCCCATGACATCATCTTACCATCATTGGTTTGCAAGCAGTAAATGATTCACTTCTACACACACACATATTATACTAAAAAAAGAATATAACAGTGTTAACATTCTTACATCACACAAGTGATATACTAAAGAATGGTTACAAAATATACACCACACCCACAATAGTCCATGTAGTTAATCATTGAGCCTGTTCTTGCATATATCTTCCTTTGACCTCATGATTCTCATTTGCTCTGACATGCACTGTGAGCTGTAGGGTCTTATATAGACAGGTGTGTGGCTTTCCTAATCACGTCCAATCAGTATAATCAAACACAGCTGGACTCAAATGAAGGTGTAGAACCATCTCAGGGATGATCAGAAGAAATGGACAGCAC